GCCACCCACAGAGGGCCTGACCCCACTCATTCTCCATAAACCCGAGCACCCCTAGAGGAGACCCCGAGCTGGTGGAGGGAGACCCCTTCTCTGCCTTTACTCCTGGGGCCTCTGGCGGGTGTGGAGGAGGCCTGAGGGGCAGGGTCGGCTCTCAGGAGGCAGCTCCTCGGGGCACCCCAGCGTGGGGGGTAGCCATGTGAACACAGAGGCCCCCCCACCTCCCTCCCCAGCCCAGGAAGCCTCCAGCTGCCCACCTGGCGGGGTGGGGGGGATGGAGAGCCCCCCGGCACATTTATCAGCAGTAGAGATTTTAAAGGGGGCCTCCAGCACCCCAGGGCATCGCTGCTCCAGCCCCAGCGGCTCGCCACGGCTTCTCCCTGGGCTGCCGGGTGCCGGGCACCTGCAGGCGCTCCTGCAGCCTGGGCCGAGAGCAGGGACACCCCCAAAGCCCTGCTCCTGCCAGGAGCCATGGGTTCTGCGAGGTGGTTAATGACGGGCAGAGCTGGGAAACTCATAAGGGAACCTGGGTGCAGACAAGAGAAGGACACTACAGGATCAGGGTGCAGCTTCTGCAAAAATGTCGCTGGCACCGCCGGAAGTGGGTGAGGAACCCGGGTGCCCCCGGGAGCCCGCTGAAGCACACCCCTGCGGCCCTGACTGTGGACCTCCGGTCTCCAGGCCCATCTGTCCTGAATGGCGCCAGATGGGCGCCAGCGGGCAGCCAGCGGCTCTGTCCCTGCCCAGCCCCTCGGTGCCCCCGCCCGACACTGCCCCACCGCCCCAGGACCCCCGCCCCGCCCACGGGGCCCTGAACCCAGGCCTGAGTGCTGTGTGGGCAAGTCCGGAGCATGCCAGGCCCCTCAGCTGAACCCAGGCGGGCAGGACGGGCCTGGGCTCGGCTTCCCGAAGGCCCTGGGGTCAGAGTGGGCCCCCGACACAGGCCAGGAGCACCGCACTCCCCTGGGCCAGGAGAAAGCAGCTGCCCTCGCCCACGTCCTTCCCCCTTCCCTAGTCCCTGAGAGGTCACCGGGCAGCTCCCCCACCCCCACCCCCCATTCAGGCTGAGCCATGGGTGTGGCCCCAGCCAGAAGCCCGCTGCTCTCCCAGTAAGGAGGCCGCCCCTTGCTCGGCTGGGGGCGGATGGCGCCCCGCTCCAGTGCCGGTCAGGTGCCCGCTGCCCGCAGCCTTGAGGGCGCTGGGAGAACTCCACGGCGCCATTAGGGAACTGTTTTTCTTTGCTCACGCCCTGGCGCTGGTCTGATGGCTCGTCCAGCCAGGAGCGCCTGGGGTGCAGGACTGGCCCTCATCACACTCCCTGCTGGGCCCTGCACGGGGAGCAGCTTGGGGGTCACTCCCCGGGCTCGCCAGCACTCACAGGCAGGGGGACTCCGTCCTTTCCACTGGTGAGGGGCACAGCTAGCAGAGAGACCGAGGGACAATCCGGGACCCCAAAACTTGCACGCTCTGCCTGGGTTCTGCCTTCCGCCCCATAAAAACAGAGCCCACCCTTGTGCGGCGGGACCTCGACACTGCGCAGAGGGAAGGTTTCCGTGCACCCAGTCGCCATCCCGGCGGGCAGATGCCCAGCCAAGCAGGGTCGACCCACTGGGGTACCTGGGGCCCCACAGCTTGCCACAAATCTACAGCACCTCCCTGGAGGGACCCCAGGGAGGCCAGAGGGGCCCCGGGTCGGGGAGGAAAGGCGCCAAACCGAAGCCCAGTCGAGGGCGCGGCTCGCCCACGGCTCCGCCCTCCGCCCGACCCAAAGGAGAAGCTCCGCGGTTGCTTCACACCGATTGCTTCAGGTCTCCTGAGGCTTGTCCCCCCCACACACACCCCGCCTCGCCCTTGGGGCAGGGGACTGTTACGGACACTGCAGCCAACACCCTGGGCCCAGCCCTGGAGATGCCCAGGAGTCGGCGGGACAGGAGGGTGCCCGCTGCTGCCCAGCCCCCACACTGCCGGGGAGCCAGTGCGCTCAGCACGGACACCCCTTCTCTACGGCAGCTGCCCCCGGCCCGCAGCTGGGGGGCGGCTCGGCCTGGCTCCCCGTGTTTCAGCTCCGAGGGGCCGGGCACGGGGCGCACCCCTCCGGCCGGAGGCGAGCCTCGAACCGGCAGAGGGTCGGCGCGGGGAGACGCCATGCCCAGGCCAGTGTCCTTCCCGGACCAGACCGGCAAGGGCAGGGCCAGCGGAGAAGCAGGTGCGGGAGAAACCAGCCGCCGGGCGCGGGGGGCCAACAAGGGGGCCCAACGCAACCCCCCCCCCCGGCCGCTTCTCGCGGACGCCACTCGTGTCTCGCTTATTTCCAGGTTCTTTCGGGTCCTCTCCTCAGCCCTGCTCCCGGGGCTGGCCTCGTCAGGGGTGACCGCCCTTGTCCCCTGCCAGCGGCCCCTGGGCGCCTGGGGTGGGGGCCACACTTCCCTGGCCAGCGGGAGCCCTCGGGGTCCGTGGGTGACCAGCACCCACCCGTGTGCAGCCCAGTGCTGAGCCCAGGGCAGCCTGGGGCTTAGCGGCCAGCCGCAGCCCCGTCAGGGGCAGGCCCAGCGGGGGCCGCGGGGAGCAAGCCCTGCTCCCTCCAACGCCTTCCGTGAGGTCCCCATTAAGGACAGGCGAACAGGGGGGACAGGAACAGCCTCTGGACCCCCGGACATCGGAGACACCCCGGAAACGGAGCTTCTCCCAGAGCCAGCACCAGGCCCCTTCACAACAGCTGCTGAAACACAGCAGGGAAAGCCCTGGGGGCAGAGACGGCCGGGGAGGAGGCCAGCGGTGGGCAGGGTGGACAGGCCACGCGGCTCCCACGCTTCCTTGCTCTCCCAGCACAGCTGGAGTGTGCCCCGGCCCAGGCACGGAGGGGCTGCCGGCCACGCGGCGGTTCCCGGAAAGTAGCTCCCGCCTCTCAAACTGGCCCACCCGAAGAAGCCCCGTGTCCAAGATACTGGGGGCCGTGATCACGGGCACCCAGCGCTGACCCTGGGGAGGGTGAGCTCGGTCTGGTGCGGTCGGGCATGAGGCCACTGGGGGTCTCGCTCTGGGGGTCACGCCTGAGCAGCCCAGGCTGCTGGCGTTGACCTGCCTGTCCCCCCCAGGGGCCTCGCCTGGGGCACTGGGCAGCACCCTCACTGGACAGCAAAAAGGCAGAAAGCCCCAGAACCCCACTGCCCCAAGCCACCAGCCCCCCAGGGACCCCCGCAGCCGGCCATCGGGCTCCCGGCCCAGAGCCACTGCCTGGGTGCCCTGCGGCCGCTGGACGGACCCCACCGGGACGCGAGCCGTTTCCTGCGTCTTCCTTCCCAGTTTCGTTTCTGGGACTGGACTGTTTGGTTTCATTTCTCCACCAGTTGTTTCCGGGAGAGGGATGAGGGCGTGGTTCACACTCCTCGTAAAAGGGGAGCAGGGAAGCCACCCTGAGTCCTGCTCTCACTCTGCTCTGGCTCTCCACCTCCTCCCTGCCCAGGTAGGGGCCCCAGGGGGAGCCGAGGGGGAGGGAGGGCTCCCCGGGACCTGGCTGGCCGCGGGAGCCGCAAGCAGAGTCTGGTCTCCGCTCTGGCCCTTGTGAGACCCGCTGGGCGCTTTCGAGAAGGGGTGTGGCCTGGGTCACTGCCCATTCCCTTCCTGCACCTGGCCAGTCCTGTGGTCTTGGGGCGCCTCTGGGGGGCCTTGATACTGTGATTTACAATAAATAAATCACAGACTTGGCGTTGGCCCAGGGCCTGAGCTGCTAATGCCCCAAGGTTCCTGTGAGCCAGGTGAGCATTGCTGTTAACAAGGGCTGTGGCTTGGCCCCAGGCTGACCACGGGGGCTGGGGTAGGGGCGGTCACCTTGAGGCGCCAGCCTGTGATGGGTGGGCCCAGCCTCTGTGCCCCGCCTCCGGGAGCGGGGCGGAGCGGCTCAGGTCAGGGCCAGGGCTGAGTCCTCCCCGGGGAGCCCCCCGCAACCCTGCGACCGGCTCAGACGCCAGAGGCCTGGGCCCTGGCCGGGCTTCTCCGGCAGGTGGCCGCCCTCACGGCCGTGCTGAGTGCCGTCCTTTCACGCTAAACTGCTGGCTCAGGAGGCAGAGGGCTCCTGAGCTGTGAGCCCCGGGCACCGCCCGGACCCAGGGCCCCGGGGCGAGGCCTGCAGCAGGTGCTCGGCCCAGTGGACTCTGTCCGGAGTCTTGTACAGCTGGGAGTGGGGAAGTGAGGTGGGGGGGCAGAGGGGGAGCTGAGCCCCCACAGGACGGGGCTGCGCTTTCTCTGACATTACGGGGCCAGAGAGGGCGAACCTGCCTTCCCTGGGGCCACCTTGTCACACAGCAGCTGCCATCTGAACTGAGCTCGCTGCCAGGCGCGGGGGGTGGGGGTGGCGGGGGCCGCGGCCCCAGCTCGCTGTCGGGCGCCCGAGAGGAGCCAGGGGTGCGGCCCAGGTCCGGGGCCCAGGAAAGCTCTGGCCAAGCCCCGGTGACAGCCGGCTCCGCCCCCCCAGCCAGACACGCAACCGCCTTCAGCGTGCGCACCTGAGCGGAGACACGGCTGCCCTCAGCACGTGGGTCATGGGCGCTGCGGTGGGGCACAAGCAGGACAGGTGTGGACTGGGCCCCACATCAGGGTCGCGAGCCAATGAACCTTCCATATAAG